AATAAAAAGTCAGACTCCGATAAAAGAAAAGGCTCTGTGAGAGAGGACTTCAGGAGCTCCCTGAATCACTACTTCTCCCAATTCCCCAGGGACTCTGAGAGGGACTTTGGGGCTCTGCCAGCATCCTGCTTCTCACATTTTTGTCTGTTTGCTGGAAACATCCATTAAGGTGTTGTCTGATGGCAATGGTCTCTACCCCTCATTCTGCAACAGGGTGGTCCCCAGGAAAGGGGGAGGTTCCAGGTTCCCTGCCCCACCCAAGGAAGGGTGGAGCTGAGCAGGAAGAGGAGAAGCTGCTGGAGAAGAGACTGAGGAAGGAAGCAGGATGGAGCCAGGAGACCTGGAGGAGGCGCATGGAGCCTAGAGACACGTGAAGAAACTGTGCTTGTTTTTTGGTCGTGGACTGGGTGACACAGATGTGGGTGAGACCCGTGGGGAGGTGACCATGGCAGCTTTTATCTTGATGTTGATTTTGCTCTTTTCCTTCCGGGCTTGCCCGGTTGTTTGTGACCCTTTTCTGTGGGTCCCCGCTGGAAGATGCTTTAGACTTGTAGCAGGCTTTGGGGCCTTGCTCTGCGCCATTCCCATATGGATGGACTTTTACCCACGAGGGGACGGGTAACTTTGGGTGCTTGATTTAGAAACTAGATTCTTTGCCTTACCTGTATTGTTTCCTAGTTTTATTAAAGTTCCTTCCCATTAAAGTCTCCTATGTTTTGTGTTGATGTGGCGGATGGCAGAACCCATTTAGAATAGGCAGGTTTGCGGGGCTTGGGCTACCCCTCTCCCTGTCCTATAACAATTCCTCCTGAATTTATTAATGAGAATTTTTCTGTGGAAAAACACAATTCCTTCACTCATATCTACTTATTTAGTTGAATGTTTATTTCTATCAGTATGGATGCATAGACTTCTGAATCTGTGGTTACTATGCAACATTGTCATTGTTTATGTTTTCCTCAAATCATTCCAACTGTGGACATTGAGAGCCCTTTCAGATGCCTTGATATTTACTTCATGAAATCCTCAGCCACCCTTCTCCCACACAGCCTGTGGGCAGGTGAAGGGCAAGGAAAAGGGTGCCATCCAGAATGCTGGACCCAGAGGGGTGATTTATTGCATAAACACTGACAGATTAGGACTGTGACAGCACTAGTGGTAGTAAGTATCACTTGTGGGGTATGTCAGGTAATGTGCTAAGCACATTGGGCACGTTCTCTTGTTAGACCCTCACTGGAAACCGAAACTCTGAGTTCACTACCCTGTTCACACACAAGGAAACTGAGTCTGGAGGCTGTAGGATGTGAGGGGTGACCTTGTGGCTTCAGAAGCACAGGCATTCCCAGAAGGCACCTCCCACTTGTCTGCAGGGTCATTCACCCAGGGACACACCTCCATCAGCAGAGCTCCCGAATGAATGGCAAGCACTTGAACGGCTGATGAAGGGGACCTCTCTGTGTGCGCTTTGACACACGCCATTCCCAGCGGAGCTCTGGAGCTAAAATAACTACGTTTCTATTTTCTATTTTCTGCAGAAAAGAGGAGATGTGCAGTTTATTTCGTAACATTTAGTGTTTTTGAAAATTTGAATTCTTTCTCCACGTGTATTTTTAAAATGTCTTTGGAGGTACCCTTGCAAGAAAAGACACAATGCAGATTTCGTGAAGGCCTCTTTGTTTTGTTACTCAGATCTTCAGGAAACAGCTCGTGGAGATCAGATGTAGGGATGGTGAGGAGACCACATGGCCAAGGGACCGGCTTGCACAACTACCCAGACACAGACCACATGGTCACAGGAAGAAAGCCAGCTCAGGGCCATGGGTCTCTGTGTCCTGTTCCCTGTGCAAGGAGAAGCCATTTGTCCCACCACTGTAAACTGAACTCTCAGCGAGCCCTACCCCCATGGGTCTGAGAGATGAACAAACCACACGGTCAGGCCCAGCATCTAGTGCTTCCAAACTGTAGCTGAGCGGGTCCTTCTTCAAAAGGAGGGAAGGCATTTTGTGCCAGGCCTTCCTTGGAGTAATGTTGGGCAGCTTTAGTGAGCCAGCACTCCCCCGGCACAGCATTGGGAGGAAATTGGTTGTTTTTAAGGTTTCCCTCTAAGAGGACTAGATCAGGTGGCTCAGGCTGGTGGTGTCCCTCTCCTTCCTTCTGACTGAAACACTGGAAAATTAAGAAATATTTAAAGAACAACAAACAAAGTAAAAAGAGATGAAAATTGTCCACAGACAGGAAGCTGGGGGCATGGGTGAGTAATCGCTGAGACCACAGGGTGTTTCTGGCCAGCAAAATACAGAAGGGCTGTAGTGGGAGGGCCTACTCCCAGGGACCTGCCTGGGCCTTGTCTAGGACTCTCCTGGGGCTGCCTTAATGGCCCTTTCTCATCAGGACCTCTCCTGCTGTATCTATGTGGGACCTAGCTCCCCACACCTGCACCATGGCCAGCGTCTGCAGCCACGGGCAAAGGTGTCTGGGATATAGAGACAGAGAGGGAAGAGCAGATGAGAACATGGTGTAAAAATGTGAGAACAATGGCAATAAACATGTACAAAATGAGTGTGTTTTCTCTAGAAAGTTAGTAGTAATTTGGAAAATGCAATAGATAGGGATGAACTAAGACCTGACCTCAATGGTAATAATCCAGGAATAAACTTAACCAGAAAGGGAGAGGCTAATGTGAAGACTCACAGTCTTGCTCAGGTTACAATTCAGGGTCTGAATGAAGGAGAGACACACCAAGACTGAAAAGCAGATAGATGAATTCTCCCTGGTTTTAAATACTAAATAGAAGTCAAAGCATAGATGTATCTGGATCTTTTTAAACCTGCTAATGTGAGTCAAAAGTTTATCAGGGACAATAAATGAACATGAAAAGGCACAAGCCTTTTAAGAAAAGAATGTCAAGGTCAGAGATTTCTTATCACACAGTAAACTCTGGGATGAAGCTGTAATCACTGGAAAGAAGATGGTCCAGCTGCAAGAACATCGTTTAGATCAATGGAAAAACACAAATCATCTAGAAAAAATTAGAATTTATGTAATAGTTGTCTATGTTCATATAATAAGTTTATAATACCATCATTAATTCATAAAGAAAGGTTTATCCGACCAATGCTGTGGGACTGTAGTATCAACCTCCACAAAAATAGTCAGATAGGCTTTTCCATGGCACGGTGCTAAGTGGCTCCTCTGGGTCTTGATAGAAACTGTCAGCATCTCTTAAAGACTCACTGTCACCCAGATTTAGGGTCATCTCCAGAAATAACCTTTTCATCAGGGCAAACATTTAGAGGCAGGATTTTGTCCTATGCTGTCATCCTTTCCTTGTCATGAAGATTGTTCCTTGATGCCCCAGGCTCCTGTCCAGTTCCTTAGCTCAGGATATGAACCCTCAGTTTATATTTACAGCCATATAAATTCTCCATACATATGTAATTAAATCTGGACTTTTTCTCCTACTAATATCTCTGATATTAATTTGTTTGCTTGACCAGCCCAAGAAGAACCCAGAAGGGTGAGGGAATTTTCCTTTGCACCCCTATAGGCCCAAGAAATAAGCTATATATAATAAAATTAGATCTTCCATATCCCCTCAGAATATGACAGATTCTAGACAGATTTGATTTCAAAGTGAAACCACAGAAGAACAAGATGACAAAACAAAACAGAATAATGTTTATTGGCTCTAAGGTAAAAATGACATTTTTAGAAAAATATGTAAGGAAGCATATGAAAAATAGATTTGAACTGACATTGAAATTATAATTTAAGATGACAGCAAAAATAAAGATGAAAAACAAAGTAGGATGGTAGTTATAACAAATTTTTCATAGACATACTTTTGTATATAAGAATTTCTTAGAAATAATGGTTATCTTACCAATTGAAAATGAAAAATATGAGAAGAGAAACATAAATGACAGTAGTCAACAAACATGGAAAGAAGTTTACTGTCATTACTTGATCAAATAAAACTAATGTATAGGAAATTGCTACTTTTTTTTAAGATTTAATTTTTTTTTAATGCATACAAGAACTGGGGTGTAGGACAGAGGTGCTGGGGGTGAGAGCATTCACCAGAGACAGAGGGATGTTGTTGTGTCAGTCAACAACACACTGTTACAGAAACGAGAATCTGAAGCAAGCAGTTATGGCAGGATGCTGCCGAGAAGGCAAAACCTGGCCTTTTTATTGATTGAATGATTTTATAGAGTCAATTACTCAGAGCAGGAATACAAAGAGGAAAAAGTTAGAAGGAAGCAAATGTGTGCTTAGGTTATCTAGGCTTTTGGGGGAGATGAGTCTGAGGATCCAGATTAGTTTTATGGCCCATGTTTGAAGATTGAAATGAAGTTTCCAACCCCCACTTGTGGTTCCCATCTTATTAGCAAGGCATTCTGCGATCAGTCTGGGACGCAAAGTTACATAACAGTCTACAGCTCCCCAGGCGTATTGGTCATGCCTCTTGCCCTACACTCACTGTCCCAGGGAATTAAGCACCCTGTTTTTGTTTAACTTGAGAGGAACCTTTGCAGGGTCTGTAGTTTGCATTCTTTTTAGATAATTGATGGGGACAAATGGACTTTGTACTGAAAAGCCCAACTGCATAGCCGGAATGGTGGCTGAAGCCTCGCAGACCCCCAGGGAGCAGAACAGGCAGATCTACTGTAATATATTGCTGAGGGGAGCAGCGGGCGAGACAGAAGAGGTCTGCTGCACCATGTGGGTCAACTTCCCTGGCCCAGGTCGAACTTGTGCCACAGTGGCTGGCAATAGCTTGATAGCACTGAGACTTTAACCCCTGTGCCACCGGGGAGGCCCATGCTACTGGTTTTTAAAAATGGGCTCCTGTGCAACGTCAGCAACGAGGCATTTTCTAATTCTTCTGGGGGAGGTGAAATGTACACTTTTTGCAGGTATTAATGAATGAAAGACATTGAAATGACTTCACTTCTTCCCCTTCTTTATCACTTTCATTCTCTTCCTAAAAATTCCAGGGCCAACCTGATCAGTGGGACTGAGAGCAAGGTCAGTGTCTGCACAGGCAGAAGCAGCATGAAGCCCGAACAGGACAGAGTCCAAGGCCTGAGATGGATGAGGGGCAGCCTCTCCATCTCTGTGCCCCGAGGGCCCTGCTGAGCTGCCCACCAAGAGCCATGAACACACCAAGCCCCTGGGGTTGGCCTGAATACCACTTTCCACTAAAAGAAAACAGAATTCTTGGGTCAATAGCTCATTTCAGTGCTGGATCAAAGAAAGATGCATATGGAACATCTATTTGTGCAAGACAGAAAGGAATTGCTCAAAGAATGTCAAATGTCACAGAAGCCAGCCCAAATCTAGGACAACTTGAGCATCAAAAGAAGTAAAAGTAGTAACAGATTAAATGCAATGGAAACCACACATTCACACTGATATGAAGAAATACTGAAAAAGTTCAAAGTTAGATGAGAAATAGCGCATTTAGATAAACTCAAAAGTATCTCCCCTCAAAATACTAACTGCAAAGAAAGTAAATGGAAAAGCCTGGCAGACACCATCTTACCCTTGAAATGAAAAGGAGTTCCACTCGTAATGGGACGAAGTGCCCCCTGAAGGGATGTGAGGAGGACACAGCCCCTGCTGCAACGCTCCTGCCAGAGATGCACATAACTGTGAGGTGGCATCAGTCAAATCCAAATGCAAAGGCACTCCAAATGTCCCAAGGTCATTCTTGACTAGAGGCCCAACTCACTGAATCCTGGGCACATGATTCTGAACTAGATCTTTTTGCTGTGAAGGCTTACTTGATGTTGGGTGAAGCTGACGATTGAGTATAACAAGATTAGCATCAGCCTCCTGATTTGATTTTGATGGTTGTACTATACTGAAATGGCACCACCTCTTGTTTGAAGGGAAAATGTGAGGGTTACAAGCCTTCCGGGAACAATTTGTTTCCAGAGTAATCCGAAAAAAATCCCTGCACTGCCCTTGAAACTTTTCAGGGGGTTTGAGATTGTCACTCACACATAAAGGCAGGCACACACACATATATGTGAACACATGCATACATTATGCATGCCACATATGCACATGTGCATGCATACTACCTTTGGAGGAAGCACATATACTTTTTTCGTGTGTTTTTTAAAAAAATTTATTAATTTTCTTACATAGGTGTTCATTTTTGTACAGTATTTAAGTTCTCCCCTCAGGTATAGTCCCTATAGTTCTCCCACCACCATGGCATCCATCATTATAGTCTCTTGTGCTCTTCCCTCCCCTGTTCTGACCCCTCTCCCTCTTCCTCCCCTGCTGTAGGCCTCAGATCTATGGTCAGATTGCAAGTTCTATCTTTTTCCTAACCCTTCGTTAGTTTTTCTATAGGCCACCTTCTTGATCCATTCATCTGATTGGGGGCTGCGGCAGGCTACGCCTCCCATGCTGTGGGGCATTTAGTTTGTTTCCATATCTTGGCTATTAGTGAGCACATGTACTCTCTGACTCTACAATTCGACTTCAGCAATCTATCCAAGGGAAATAGAGTACCTGCCCAAGATGTGTGCAGAAAAATCATTAATGCTACAGAAACAATGTGAGTATGCTATGCATAAGGTATTATATCACAATATAATGATGTGGTGAAATACATATTGTCATTAAGATTCATGTTTGTGAAGAATATTTAATGACAGTGGAATATGTCCATGGTATCATGTTCATGGACAAAAGCTTATAAAATAGTATAGGAAATTCAGTTCAAAAAAAAAATCTGCAAGTCAGGGAAGTTTCGAAAAGCAGGTAGACTTTGTAGGGAAGTAAGATATGCAGAGAGAGAGAGAAAAGGACCAAAAGGGGAGGGGGAGGGAGGTGGAGTCACAGCACATTCAGGATAGAGATTTAGGAAGCAAAGTGACAGGGAGCCCTCATCAGCCCTTGCAACTGCTGAAGTTACTGTCTGGTGACTGGGCGTTTCCTTAAACAACCAGACCCAAGATTAGCTCAAATCATGTGCCCAGGAGGCTTTTGAGCCCCAGTAAGCCTGCCCCCAGCTTGACAAATTTCCAGGGTCAGGGCATGGAGGGAAGTGAACCTCCCTAGGGAGTGACTGCCACCTGGCACCATGGCAGTCTGCTGGTGGAGCTGCTCAGGGTATCCCCAGGCCAGGCTACAGCCTCCACAACTCTCCTTCCCACTCTTTCCCCCAGGCCACTGCCCTGAAACAGTCTTTCTCCTCTCGCCCCCTCCATTGCCCTTCTTTCTTCAGAGGGAGCCCTATCACAGTGGAAGGGGGTCCTCAGGTGCAACGACCATAGCAGGCCCAGACCACAGGTACCCTGCAGAAGTAGACAATGTCTGGAAGGGAATTCCAGGTGCAGCTGTTGTAGAGCAACCCCGATACAAAACGGGGTGCCTGACTGTGGTGAGATTATCTCAGGACATCCTTTCCCCCTAACACAGCCAGTAAGTAGAGTCAGATCCACCAGCTAGTGGCCAGTGCTGGGCCATTTTGACAGGCTGATGAGTGGTTGTTCCTGTCTGGGTGCATCAATCCTGATTAGTGTCTGTGTTGCCAGCCCTGATTGTTTTAGGCCCGACTGCCAACCTGTCATTTTTAGGAATTGAAGACGTGGAGAACTGGTAAGGAGAAGGCAGGTGTCAAGCCCCATCATCTCTAACGCTGGCGTTTCTTGACACAGATTGTAATCAAAACCGAATTTGCCAGGAAACCAACCCATCCTCTGGGCTTGTGCTATTGCTTCTTGCAATCTCTGGATTTAGGGACTGGATGGAGAATTCCAGGTGTGAGAGAAGCAGCCACACTAAATCCTGCCTGCCATTGCCAGTGTCAGGGCTGCCTGCCTGGGTCTGGCAGCTAGGATTGCCTACTCTCGGGGAGTTAAGGTCATACGTCCAATCCAGGCAAAATCTGCCATGCTCAGTGTTACCATGGAAACAGATACAGGACAGGGTAGAACTTTTCCCTGGCACTGCAGGTTATGAAAGGAGAGGTATCTCCCCTGGCCCCTGTGCTGATGTGTCCCATGGCAAAGGGCACAGCAGGGGAGCCCAGTGCTCATGCTTATCACACAGAAGGACAAGGCCTTGTGCCCCAGCACATTCTAGATGCCATAGTGAGGCTTATCAGGAGGAGCCACTAACCAAGGGCATTAGACTCTGAGCTCCATAATCCCCTTGGGTGTGAGATTACTGCACACAGATAAATCCTGGAAACAGCTGCCCAGAATATTCTTTGTATTGGCAAGTATGCACTGAGGTCATTATTCAGGATTTTATAGGCAGTTCTTGGCTGCGTCCCAGAATGCTTGTGTCTTTGCAGAAAGAGAAGTTGTGCTTTATGGGTGACAGATGTCTCCCTCATATCTCTGCATCATCACCACAGTGATGGACTAGGCAATGCCCTGCAGACTGCACCTGAGGGGTGGGGTGTGGCCTGAGGAGGATCCCCATATGATGATCTTCATGAAAGTGGTTTCTCACTCTGCCATTCCCTCCCATCAAGTCCTTATGGCACGAGCAGTCTGGAGCCCACATATCCAGGCAGCCCAACAGGCAGGGCTTGGCTACTGTCCCTTATAGGGTTGGGAAGGTGCAGGTGTGTCTGCCCCAGGGCGTAGGAACTTTGTCCTTTCTCATTTGCTCCACAGTCATTAATGGGAATTTCTTCAGTCAAACCATGTTCTTGCCTTTTCTTTCTCTCAACCCCCATAGTCCAGGTCTGATATTTAGGGGTAAAGATGTAAGTCCTATTCTCTGAAGCTCAGTGGTGCCTAGGGCCTCACACTGTTGGTGGTGTTGAGCTGCCTCAGCCTTACTTTCATTGCAACAGGATTATTTTTAATAAATAAATGTATTTCAGTTTGGGAGAAATCAATGCATTTGGCCCAAACAGACTTGATTGATGGGATTTTGTTTGTTTGTTTGTTTTTAAAGGTTTTTTTTTTTAAAGATTTATTTATTTATACAAGCACTGGGTACAGTCAGACGCATGGGAGGGTGAGAGAATTCACCAGAGCCAGAGCGGGGAACAGAACAGGCAGAATGATGAAATACACTGCTGAGGGGAGCAGCGGGCACCAGAAGAGGTCTGTGCACCATGTGGGACCCTCGCTGGTGGCCGGGGATTGAACCGGCGCTGCAGAGGCTGCGGGCAGCTTCGCAGCCCAGTGCTCAACCGCTGCGCCACCAGGGGAGGCCCCAATTGATGGTTTTTATTTTATTTAATTTTATTATTTTTTTTTAAGATAGTCTTTTTTTTTTTTTTTAAGATTTATTTATTTATACAAGCACTGGGTACAGTCAGAAGCGCTGGAGGGTGAGAGAATTCACCAGAGACAGAGCGGGGAGCAGAGCAGGCAGAAGGACCCAAGTACACTGCTGAGGGGAGCAGTGGGTAGCAGGAGAGGTCTGTGTGCCATGTGGGACCCTCCTCCGGTGGCCGGGGAACAACTGGGGATCGAACTGGCGCTGCAGAGGCTGCGGGCAGCTTCTCAACCCAGCACTCAACCGCTGTGCCACCGGGGAGGCCCTGGTGGTTTTTAAATCACCTCTGCTAAAAATTTTTTGAAGGAAAGATGGGCACAGACAGTCTCGGCTGGCAGGACGCCAGAGAACTCTGGGAAGAATCCCAGGGAGAGGGACTGAGTCTGATGAGGGTCGTTTTCTGAGCAGGTCACAAGATGATGAGTCAAGGAGCAGAAATACATGAGTCAAGGTCATAGCCTGAATCCTGCTCAGACATCAGCTGCTGTGGTTCCAACAGAGCCTGGCTCAAAAGGTCAGCAATCAAGGGTCAGAGGGCAAGCGACAGGGTGGGGGGCAAGGGTTGGGGGCGCAGGGGTCCCAGGCTAAGGGTCAGAAGGCTAGGGGGGCTGTGAGGAAGGAGAACAAATGTGAGCTGGGGTCTCCATGGGGACCCAGCACCCAGGCACTCAGCTGTTCCCCAGAGTCACAGCTAGCAGCTATTGGCTGGAATACAGTGAAGATGTGGGCCCTCTGTCCTGCTCATCCAGGTGGGAGAGGCTAGGATAAAACATCAGAACTCCATTCTGGTTGGTTCCATTTTTGTGTGGCACCCATAGGTCTCAGGTAAACACAGAGCTGATGCCTGCCTGAGTTAGACCAGCTTCCCACCCACAGCCAATCGCTCTAAGAAGAGCCTGCTCCAGGCCACTGCCCCTGACCTGGGACCTGACCAACCATAGTCTGTGCCGCTTCATCTTTGTTCTCCCAGTGGAGCGGGAAGGCTGTCGGTAGAGTTCTGTTTAGCAAGCCCCTGGTCCCCAGTACAGCAGGAGATGTGCTCAGTGCCCAGTAGCTGCTGTTACCAGTATCATTGTCAACAAAAGCATATCCTGGTTCTGGGATCCCCACCTGCTCGGGGAACTGAGTGCATCCTGCCTTCCAGAGCTACCACCTGAATATAGAGCACCCTTAAGACCCATGTTCCAACTGGCACCCTCTTCCTCCTGGGACCTTCCAGCTGGGCTCAGGCTACAGCCCTTGCTTAGCCCCTAGCCCTGCCCCACAGGGGTCCTGCATCAAATCTCAGCTCAAACCTGTGACACAGCCCTTCATCTGGGATCAGTGGGAAGCACTGCAGGATCAGCCTGGCCCAGTGCTGGCTCCTCACTGAAGACAGCACTGGACCTGATGTGTGTTGTCACTGAGTGTCCACTAAGGAAACCCCCAAGTGTGGGGAGAGTGAGGTGAGGGAGCCCACCAGGAGGCAACCTGAGAGGTACTACAGGGTGGAAGCAGTGGACCCGGTCAGGAGGTTGAAGGAGACCCTTAGGTGGTAGAGGAGATGAGGGAGAGAGGAGGTTGGATTTCCTTTTCCCAAGAATGTTGACAGAGGGTATGATGTCTCTGGGCAGGAGCAGGCAGCTGTGCTAAAAACAGGATCAGAACATGAACAGGCTTCCAGGAGCCCTGTAGTGCAGGCCAGCCCTCAGCCAGCAGGGTTCTCAGGATTCTTCCTTTGCCACACTGCAGCTGTGCCCTCTGGATGACAGATCCTTCCCTCAAGTCCCTGCAGTGAAGCCACTGTGACCTTTATAACAGACAAAACCTACACTTTTTCCTACGTGACTCAAGGATGTGAGGCCGTCGGAAGGCAATTCTAAAAGCGGATGGATAATTGCTGGTTCTGCTTCCTATGATGAGTCTGTAAGATCAGACCACACTCAATCCCTTGCAGAAAACAACTAGAAAATCTGTACAAGATGCAAAAGGGAAGCTCCAGGGGATGAACAGCAGCAGACTGTTCTAGGGCTTGTAGGAAGTGAATTCTCTTCTGTGGCTTCCAGTATGGGGCCACATGCAGTCAGAGCAGCACACAGGGAAGCAGAGTACTCTCAAAGAGACCACAGCCTTCACCACCTGCAGGAGGAGAAAACTGGAACTGAGAGTGTTGTAGAGCGTGGGGGGTCTTCTTGTAGAGCAGGGGAAATGCCTATGAGGATGCTCCATCATCCATGCCCAGCTCCCTGACTGACTGAAACACACCCTTGACAAAGTGCCTTAAAGCTGCCAGTTGAAGACAGAGAACCCCACTGACCAGAGCTAAGCTAGAATCAGAGTTTGCAGTCCAAGCCCAGCCGAGATCACTACCTGCTAAACTGCTCATTGGTGAAAAATAACAGAACCCAGAATCTCCTCCAACCGGTCATAATGTCCAGCACACAGTTCAAAACTACCCAGTCAGCAAATTACAATATCAGTAAATGGACATATTCTTAAAAGACTGTAAACTGAAAGGAACCCAAGACAATCCAGATGTTACAACTATAGGATTTTATTTCCTGTCTCTTGAAAATCGGCTTTTAGGTACAGACACACTTAGTATTATGTCCTCTTGATTCACTGACCGTTTTGGAATTACATAGTGACTTTCTTTAACCTTGGCCATATTCATTGCTCTGAAATCTAATATCAAATATCTATTAATCTAGCTACTCCAGCTTTCCTTCAACTGTTAGCATGGTATGTTTTTTTCCAGTATCATTTTTTTTTCAGGATTTATTTATTTATACAAGCACTGGGTACAGTCAGAAGCACGGGAGGGTGAGAGAATTCACCAGAGCCAGAGCAGGGAGCAGAACCGGCAGACTGACGAAGTACACTGCTGAGGGGAGCAGCAGGTGCAGCAGGAGAGGTCTGCACGCCATGTGGGACCCTCATTGGTGGCCGGGGATCGAACCGGCACTACAGAGGCTACGGGAATATAATTTTTAATTTATTTGTATTTTTGTACTTAAGGTGGGCTTGGGATAGACAGTGTGTAGTTGGGTCTTGCTTTCTTATTCTATCTGACAAACTGTGCCTTTAATAGGGTTTTTAGATCATTTTCATCTAGTGTTACTATTGGTGATAGATTTATTTTTTTAAAGATTTATTTATGTATAAGAATTGGGGTATAGGCCAGAGATGTGGGGGTGGGGGGGGAGGTGAGAATATTCTGTTGGTAGTAGATTTAAATCTATCATCTTGTTACTCATTTTTTGTTTGTCCCATCTGTTTTGTGTGTGTGTGTGTCTGTAATTTTTTTCTTAGTCTGCTGTCTTTGGATATTTTGAGTATTTTTTATGATTCCATTTAATCATCTTTTTGCTTTATTCTTATAATTGTTCAGAGTGTGCACACTTAGGGTTTATTGTGTACATCTTGAACTTATCACTGTCTATCTTCAAATAATACGTATCACTTCATGGTAGCTTAATAACCCGACAACACTGTACTTCCATCCCCTACCTGCAGCTTTTGTTTAATTGTCATACAGTTTACTTCTACATATGTTATATTTCCCACTAAAAAAGTTCTTCATCCCTTTCTGCATATCAGGATTCCATGTGGCATTGTTGTCCATCTGCCCAAATGACTTTCTTTAGCATCTGCTAGTGATGATGAATTATTTTAGCTTTTGTATGTCTGAGAAAGTTGATGTTGGTTATATGCTTTGTTGCCAGGCATTGAATCATGAACTAACAGCTTTTCTTTCAATACTTTAAAGACCTCATTCCAGTCTCCTCTAGCTGGCCTCAGATGACTGATTACTGTAGTCAAGCTAATTAGCACATCATCTCTCACATACCATTCCTACCATTCCTGTGTGTGTATGATGAGAGCACCTGAAATCTACTCTTTTAGCATATCAATACAGTATTAACTACAGTCGCTGTACCTCTACATTAGATCTCTAGATTGATTCAACTTACATTAACTGCAACTTTGTACTCCTTGACCACCATCTCCCCATCTCCCCTACCTCAGCTCCTGGTAAGCACCATTCTATTCTGCACTTCTGTGAGTTCAATGTATTTTTTTGTTTGATTGCTTTGTTAGATTCCACATACAAGTGAGACCATTCAGTAGTTGTCTTTCTTTGCCTGACTTTTTGCCTGAGTCATCTCACCCTAAAGTCCTCACAGGTTTATGCATATTATTGCAAATGGCCAGATTTTCTTCTTTTTATGATTGGATAATATTTCATTGTTTATAAGCATATGTCAATATCTGCCACACCTTATTTATCCTGCTCTTCGGACACTTGGTTTTCATATCTAGGCTTCTGTGAACTTCGCTATGTGCTGCTGTGAGCACTGGAGTGCAGATACATCTTTGAAATACTGATTTCATCTCCTTTGGATACATACACCTAGAAGTGGTATTGATAGATCATATAGTAGTTCCACTGTGTAATTTTTTCTTACATTCTTTTGTTATGTATGTATAATATAAATATATATACAGATCTATTTTATGTACAATAATTGATTATTACATAATTATTTGAAGGCATCCTGTTGGTATTCTTGTTAAATTTTTGAGGACCTTCCATAGCGTTTCCAATAATAGCTGTATCAGCTTACATTTCTACCTACAATGTACAAGGGTTCCCTTTTCTCCACATTTTGCCAATACTTGTTATCTTATGTCTTTTTTATAATAGTCATTGTAACAGCTGTGAAGGAATATTGTGGTTTTGATTTGCATTTCCCTAGTGATTAGCAATGTGGAGCATCTCTCATATAGCTGTCGGCCATTTGTATGTATTCTTCTGAGAAATGTCTGTTCAAGCCTTTTGCTCATTTGTAATTGAATTGTTTCTTACTACTGACTCTACAAGCTCCTTATGTATTTTGAATGTTAACCCATTATCAGACGCATGGTTTGCAAATGTCTTCTCCCATTGTTTAGGTTGTCTCTGCACTCTGTTGAGGGTTTCCTTTGCTGTGCAAAGCTTGTTAGGTTAAGTGGATCCCTTTTGTTGATTTTTCTTTAGTTTCCTGGGCTTTTGTGGGCATATCCCTGCACCCCCAAAATCAACACTCAAGCCAATCTCAAGCTTTCCCTCTCTGTTTTTTTCCAATAACTTTATGGGTTTGGGTCTTTCATACATTTTAAGTTTATTTTTACATAAAAGAGTTAAAGATCCAATTCCATTCTTCTGTGAATGAAAAGCCAGTGTTCCAACATTATTTGTTAAAAAAATATCTTTCCTCATTGTGTATTCTTGGCATTGTGATTATAAATCAATTTCCTATAAATGCATGGAGTTATTTCTGGGCTGTTTATTCTGTTCCATTGGTTAACATGTCTGTTTGAGTAGCATGCTATTTGATTATTACAGTTCTGTAGTGTATTTTGAAATTGGGTAGTGTGATGCTTCCAACTTTATTCTTTTTACGCAAAGTTACTGAAAAGCTTGTACTAGAAATGCCAATAGTTCTATATTTGCTTAATAGTTATTTTAAGTGTTAATGGATTGAAGAGTTC